CTAAACGGATCGTCAAGGAAATTCTGGCCAGCATTTCTCTGGCGATCAAGAAAGAAAGAAAGAAAGAAAGAAAGAAAGAAAGAAAGAAAGAAAGAAAGAAAAAGTAAACGAACAGACTGAGATATATAGATAAATAATGAACAAAGATAAGGAGATAGATAGACAGTGAACATAGTTTAAAGTATAATATATATATATATATACATGCATGCATATAGACACATAAAAAGAAAGAAAGAAAGAAAGAAAGAAAGAAAAAGTAAACGAACAGACTGAGATATATAGATAAATAATGACAAAAGATAAGGAGATAGATAGATAGTGAACATAGTTTAAATATATATATATATATATATATATATATATATATATATATATATACATGCATGCATATAGACACATATAAAAAGAAAGAAAGAAAGAAAGAAAGAAAGAAAAAGTAAACGAACAGACTGAGATAGATAGATAAAGAAAAACGTAATAGATAGATAGATAGATAGATAGATAGATAGATAGATATGTATGTATGGGAAGAAAGAGAGAGAGATACAAGAGTTCCTGATGTATATAATTTAACGCTTTGTGGTTCAAAGCGACACATAAAATCCCGATAAGCCGAGAACGTTTTCCCCAAACAAATCAATAAATCCCTAATATTTTTTTCTCCTTTCTTTTACACAAACCACTCATTATTTCATCGAGCGGGAAACAAGTCCATTATTTTCTTCTGTTTCTCCCATTCCCACCTGATCAAGTCTATTTCGGTGGCAATTATCAAATTACCCGTTTGATTTGGGTGCGGACTCGACGAAGGGGAATGAGGCCGTTATCAGCATTACACTGTATGAAGCAGAGAGAGAGAGAGAAAGAGAGAGAGAGGGAGAGAGATAGGGAAAGAGAGAGGGAGAGGGAGAGAGAGATAGGGAGAGAGAGGGAGAGAGTGAGAGAGAGAGAGAGAGAGAGAGAGATGGAAAAGTCAGTACGTAAAGTTTTCCTTGTTGGTTGTGATAAACACGGCCAGTTTGTTAATCATAATAACTAATAATTGAAACACAAAAGGATGTTACCGAACAAGGAACAATGCCTATCAAAAAATAGCAAGATTCCATTTGTTAGTGCTATCGTTTATTGAAATCAACCGGATGTCTGCCATATTTTGGGTGCTGTATTTCACGGTTTATAAGACGTTCCAATGCAATAGAGGCCGCCCGTCAATTTTGAAGAAAGAAATTGAAAAAAAAAAAATGTTTCCTTGTATATCATACCCCTCTCCACTATCTCAAATTCTACCCACTGAATAGCTTATTCCAGCATGAAAACCTGACTAATCATCAAAATTCATCACAGACCGAAACGAAGTAGCAAATTCATGGTAACTATTTAGAATGTAATAATTAGACGTTAGTGCATAATACCAATGAAACCTAATCTTACTACAGTCTGAAATGTTCACTAATCGTGGCGAATTCATCACAAACCGACTGAAGGAATAGCTTCTGGCTTTCATCATCATCATCATCATCATCATCTTCATCATCATCATCATCATCTTCATCATCATCATCTTCTTCTTCATCATCATCATCTTCTTCTTCTTCATCATCATCATCATCATCATCATCCTTCAACCTTCCTATGGTTTTCAGAACTCTTATTGATAATCCCTTACCACACTCTTCCGTCCTGTATTGCTGCCCCCTAAATCCTTACTGTCCAACCCTGAGTCCCGAGCTATGGAGTATCTAGGGAAGTCAATTTTTGTGAGAAATTCTTGTGTAAGTGGCTATAACTACCCCAGCCTGAAATGCTTACTAATTGTGACAAATTCATCACAAACCAGGATTTTAATTTTAAATTAGATACATGTTAATTTGCATACAGAAATAAGGTTATGTTTGATTTATATGTTGGTTAAAAATTCATGGTAACTATTTAGAATATAATAATTAGAAGTTAGATGACATAATACCAATGAAACCTAACCTTATTGCAGCCTGTAATGCTCATTAATCGTGACTAATTCATCACAAACCGACTGAATAAATAGCTTCTCTCAAAATGTTGTTAAATTAATATTGAAATACTGGACTTGATTTACTTTCAAGTGCTCAGAATCGGATGTAAGTGGGGAACTGATGTTTACACCAGACTCCAAATTAGACAATTCCCTCCCACAAACACTTTTGAAGGAAGAAATTGAAAAAAAAGTTTTTTTTTTCCTTGTTATTCATAGCCGTTCCCAATTTTACCCACTGAATAGCTTATTCCAACATAAAAACCCGACGAATCATGATAAATTCATGGTAACTATTTAGAATGTAATAATTAGAAGAGAAGTTAAAGTGTCATTGAAACCTAACCTTACTGCAGTCTGAAATCCTTAATAATTGTGACAAATTCATCACAAACCAGGATTTTAATTTTAAATTAGATACATGTAAATTTGCATACAGAAATATGGTTAAGTTTGATTTTTGTGTTGGTTAAAAATTCATGGTAACTATTTAGAATGTAATAATTAGAAGTTAGATGACATAATACCAATGAAACCTAATCTTACTACAGTCTGAAATGATCACTAATCGTGACTAATTCATCACAAACCAAATACATGTAATTAAATTAGATCCATATAATCCTGGCTACAGAAATAAGATTAAATTTGATTTACGTGTCGGTTAAAACATACGATAGTGCTTACCGCATTGCTGAATCCTTATATCAGTATTATAGCTTGAAATCCTCGTGACCGGTAATCGTGACAAATTTATTACCAGCACTAATTTTACGGTGTAAAATTTACCGAAAGTAATGTTCTTACGAAATTAGCTAACTTATAACTGCCGCCTCCGACGTTTGATTTATAAGACGCATGGTAGTTTTTGGAGATATAGGGAAAATGAGTCTTAAAAGCAGAAAAAAATAAATAATTCGGACAATCTTTCTTCGCTTTAGTTTGTTTTTATTATATTTAGGCAGTTTTATTTTCGGCCTTCTTCGTGGTTTTGGCCAAATTTATTAAGACATTTTCGAAAATTCTCTTGTTTTTCTATCAGTCAGTTAATTAAGTGTCATACGGGATACACGCTTGGGCAATCATGTCTTTTACGATCTATGTCTGACTAGGCAGAATATTTTCCCGCAGTAGGTTGCCATTTCTTCCTGCGGTAGACTGGTTGCCAACCAAAGCTATAGGACACAGACTGTCCTGCTATTCAACCCATATTCCGTATCGTTATTCATTACACCACACTGCATATCCTATGACTACTGTTTTGACGCGTCCCCTCAAAAAGTAGGCGATCACGACTCTCCACAATTTCCTGCCCTTTGTAGCTTTTAATAAATAACGAAAATGCTTCATCTAAGAAATACAGATAACACTATTGCACTTTTTACTACTACTAAGTGTAAAAACAAGCAACAGGAATAAAAATAAATAAATACTAAAAGATAACAATGGAAATGCTTTATCTAATTCCGCTAACTCAAAACTATTATGTCAGTTACTACTCAGCCAGTTAAGGGCCACACGTGATACACGCTTGGGCGATCATGTCTCTTTTGATCTATGATTGACAAGGTAGAAAACTTTCCTGCAGTAGACTGGTTGCCAACCAAGGCCATAGAGCCAAGTCTGTCCTGCTATTCAACCCATAGCTGGAATAATATAATACAAAATTATATTAAATCCAAATTTATCTTACAAATAGAAAGATAAGCCATATATGGTGAAACTCGGTACAACTAAAATATAAAAAAGCATAATCAAATTCAAATGTTAAACTAAATTGTAAGGTAAAAGGTGAACTATGTTTGCAATTTACTGTTAATTCATTTCTTTGATTTAATAAAGAATTTTTATTTAATTTGATAATTTCCAGTTTTTCATGTAAGCACAGATAACAGGGTTCATACAAAGACGTACATGTCCTTTAATTTGAATTTAATATAATTTTGTATTAATCTCCTGGTAATATTAGTAACATATTGTACGGATGTATTGGTATTTGCTTGGTATTTTTTACATTTTACATTGATTGGTTAGTGTTATTATCATCATATAGGAAGAATCTTGATTCAACAGTTGCATATGAATTTATCAAATAATTCTATACGTTTAAATTATTTACTAGTTTCTTAAAGAAGCTATTTATTTACTAACTATAAAAAATTTTATGTAGGAAATTCGCAAAACATATAACTTGTTTAGCATTTTGTTAAATTAATTCTCCACCACATTTTTATTATAGAAAGGTAAGCCATATATGTTGAAACTTGGTACAACTAAAATATAAAATAAAAATAAACAAATTCCAAAGTTTAACTAAATTGTATTATTTTCATTTTGCGAATACATCCATTTAAAGTTAACTGACCTGTAATAATAATGTTAAGAATCAGGCTAAAGGATAAAATATTTAGAGTAAGACACTATACTATACTTAGGAAAAAGGGTTAAATTTAGGAACATTAAGATTACCTCTTTGGTTATCCATTGAAACTGCTATCCACCGAAAAAAAAAAGAAACCAGTCCCCACCGTGGACCACTTAAAAGATAGTTCGCGCAGCGGATTGGTTGTGACAAACATCCAATCGGGTGTGCTGAAAATGTCGTCTTTCTTCGTCAAATTCATTGAAACGCCAGAGTAGCTGTTAGCGTTTGACTAAGAGGCTGGATCAGAGATTGATCACCCTGATTGGGTCGACTTGTTGATGGGGAGTATGATGTTGAAAGACCAGAAACTCCCTGATGAACCAAGTCAAATTACATCATTGACGACCCCCTCCGGTGCCTACTTAAGACTGTATTTTTGAATTAAGGTGAACTATGTTTGCAATTTACTGTTAATTCATTTCTTTGATTTATAAAGGAATTTTTATTGAATCTGATAATTTCCAGTTTTTCATGAAAGCACAGAAAACAGGATTCATATAAGTTGTACATGTCCTTTAATTTGAATTTGGCATAATTTTGTATTAATCTCCTGGTAGTATTAGTAACATGATGTACGGATGCATCGTATTTGCTTGGTATTTTGTGACATTTTACATTAATTGATTAGTGTTATTAACATCTTATATGAAGAATTTTTATTCAACAGTTGCATATTAATTTATCAAGTAATTCTATACGTTTAAATTATTTATTGGTTTCTTAAAGAAGCTATTTATCAACTATAAAAAAATTATGTAGGAAATTCACAAAGCATATAATTTGTTTAGCATTTTGTTAAATTACCTCTCCACCCCATTTTTATTTCTGAGGAAATGGCATTGTTTAGTTTGTATAAATTATGTAACCATTTACATCTGCTCTAGTTATCTGCCAATCTACAGGCCATGACCAATTTATAAAAAATATTTTTTTTTTAATTTTTGCATCTTCGCTTAGTTTAAATTTAACGTTGGTCATATTTGATTAGTTGATCAGAGTGAAGCCAAAAAACCTTATAACTTCACTTTTTTTCGTAAAAAGAGGTTGTATTTTGCTTTTAAATCTAAATAAATCATTCACTCGCCAGTAATTTACAATCGCCTGATGAGATGTATTGACACACATCGAAAACACGCCTGCAATTGTGTAGTGATCATGACATGTTTTCGATGTAATATCCTATATATATATATATATATATATATATATATATATATATATATATATATATATCCATAGTAATTAATGTTGCAATGGACTATACTTATAAACACGCACAAACCACAAGATAGCTTATTCCTAAATTTTCGCTTGAGGATGAAACGGGACCCAACACCTTAATTCAACTTGATTTTAATAATTATATTGATGGTTTCGGCTCTCGTTTTTGAAACATGAGAACTCTTATGTAGCGAAGGAATTATATTTCTTAAAAAAAAAATATTATAATATAAGCTCTACTTCTGTATGGAGCACTGTCTTCTTAAAAATAAAAAACAAAAATACTAAGGAACTCTGGATTATTTACCTGACGTGTTCCTTCCTATTTTCTGCATACTTTGCATATATATATATATATATATATATATATATATATATATATATATATATATATATATATATGCAGGTAAAATGAGAACAAATGAAGTATAATTCCACTGTACGTAACATTTAAGTTAACAGTGGGCTCAATACAGAGTAGCACTAAATATTATTTTAGGATACTAAAGCAAAAACACGTTAAAAATCGCTACACGATTACAATCATGTTTCAACACTTCAAATGTATCTCCTCGGGCGATGTCAAGCCAATGGCGAGCGAATGATTAATTTAATTTTAAAAGCAGAATACTTAAAGAAATAGGCTAGTGGGCTCTGCTATGATTAATCAATCAAATGTGACCTGCGTTAAAGTTAAATCCACTGGAATTTTTTTTTTTTTAATATACGTCATGACAAGAAGTTGTCTGCACATAAATCCTAGACAATTTCCTTATGGACAGATACGATTTGTAACGTTATTTCGTTAAATGTATCGAAGTTTGACGTTTAACTTTCCAAATAAGTAAAAGCTAAAAGGAGTCGGGAGTTAATTTAAGACAGTGCTAACCAGTTATTTGCTCGTTCAGCTTCTTACATAAAATTTTGTAGTCGATAAATAAAAGGCCCCTTTAAGAAACTGGTAACTAACTTAACCGTTTGAAAAAAAAAAACAGATAAAAAATACAGAACTACTTTCGCAAATTAATATGCAACGGTTAAATAAAGAGCAGACATATAAAATGTTACACACACACACACACACACATATATATATATATATGTGTGTGTGTGTGTGTGTGTGTGTGTGTGTGTGTGTGTGTGTGTGTGTGTATGTGTATGTGTGTAATTAGTCAGCAATCTTTCTTTCATGCACATTTCATTGAAAACGACAGACAAGGTGCTTTTATTTAGTTTTTTTTATACAATTTCTCATGCGATCTATTTTTTTTTCTTTTCGGATGATAAATTATATAAAAACTGCCCGAATGTTCTTTTTATCCGAGCGTTTTCGGCTATACACTTAGCCATTTTGAAGAATTAAATATTTTGACTATTAAATAAGAAATAGTTTGTTGTATGTATGTTTTATAAAATGTTTTCATTTTTCAAAACACGGTCAAGATATTATGTCCATGTTCAAAGTTAATATTATTAAGTGTTGGTTGTTGTTTTTGTTTTTATTAATAAGGCTTCCATTATTTTTAGCCTTTTTTTTTTTGCATGTAGATGATGCTATTATATTAGTGTTGTCAACAAGTATGTTACGAATAGTGTCCGGTAGGTCTCCATGAATATTTAAATGAGATCTAATTGAGCTATGGTCAGAAAGGTGTAGAGTGAGTCTTCGTGTCAAGCATGTTGTAGTGTGGCCTATATAATTATTTACTAATTTTGATTGATCAGGAATACAATTCCTTAATGGGCATTTCAATTCGTAAATAATATTTGCCCTATTTAATTTTGTTCTAGGAGGTGAATATATATATATATATTTGGATTACCAACACACAAACAGAGAATGTCTCATATCGAGAATATTTCACATTGAACATGAAGAAAAATTAATTATTTTTAATAATATGTAGAAATCTCCACTTTTACCTGAAGACGGTCGCGAGACCAGAAACACGTGTCGTAAAATTATGTAAAACAAAGCATAATATTTTTTCTAAATAAATCCACATTACAACCAAAAACGTTTGCGGCACCTCTCTTCTATTCTTTTTAATATACTTTTCTCTCGTTGGAACCACTACATTATATTTCTTATATATATATATATATATATATATATATATATATATATATATATATATATATATAATAATAATAATAATAGTAATTACTTATACTGAGGGGGCATTACTTACAGTTTCTGGGAGAGAGCATATTATCTAGCGTAATGAACAGTCTGAACAACGTCAGGACACTCAAACTCTCGGTCACGATGACTTACGACCTCGTGCTAGCTCAACCATCGACGACTCCCAAATAGTTCCGTCTATCTAATTTCAATCACAAGGCTTGGGTCGATCTGTAGTAATTTCTTTTTTAGGCATTTTATCACAAGCAAAGACGGAGAGGGGTACAGAGAGTAAAAATGAGAGTAAAGACTCGGTATAGGGGGGACGGAGGAAAGGATAAAAGATGAAGAGGGTTCAAGACAACAGAAGATGGCGATTGACGTCGCATTTAAATTTTTGAAGGTTGTAGTTATCAGGGAAGTAAGTAAGAGGAAGGGATTTCCACAGGTGAGAAGTGCGAGAAAAGAAACTGTTGGAGCAGAAGTGGCGGTTACATCTAAAAATTTCAACAATAAAAGGGTGGTACCTAAATGCCAATCTAGTAGCACGCTTAAATTCATGTAGCCGGAGCACCAGAGAAGAAAAAAGCTTGTCAGTGCAGTTGTCATGAAAATATTTGTAGAAAAGACAGAGGGAAGCCACATCACGTCTGTGAGAAAGTGACTCAAGTCAAGATGACAGGTTAGGATCAGTCACATTTCAGATCCTTCATTGGATTTTGTCGAGAACCTCCAGGTGAACAATAGGGGCACCAGGCCAGATATGGCAAGAAAGGAATGGTAGATTTCAAGAACTTTCCAATGTTGCCGCACGTTGGGATCGCCTCTACAGGCCAATAGAATCAAGAAGCCAAACCGATGTTGGCGAGAGTCGAATCCGGATATCATGGTCGGAAATCGAACATTCACACCACTCGGCCACATACCCAATAAAATAATAATAAGTGCCTCCTTATTGATATGACAGTCCCTACAGACTGCAATGTATCTTTGAAGATATTCAAAAAGCAGTCAAAATACAAGGATCTTGAAATAGAAATCTCAAAAATGTGGCACATGGGAACATCAACAATCCCTGTTGTAGTTGGAGCCCTAGGACTGATTGGAAAAGATTGCAGTAGACTAATTGAAGGGATTCCTGGAAGTCCATGCCTCAAAGAGATACAAAAAATGTTCTCACAAGTACAGTTCACACTTTACGAAAGGCTTTATCTATGTAAATTTTTTTCGTTCTTTTTTTTTTTTTTTGCGGTGGAAAGTGTCATTAATGCCATTTCTAACCTTAGGTCCCTGGGCGGGACCCGGAAAGAAATGTGTAAATGCCAGAAATCAAAGGAAATACTAATAATAATCTATAAAACAGAAGATGTCTATGTGTGTCCGTGTGTGTGTATGCTATTTATACACGTCCACATTTCTCGGCCGATTTCGTTGAAATTCTAAATATCTGTTGCAAATTTATTAATATAGCGTAAGACCAACTTTTCAATCTCCAAGGCTCCAGACTTTGGCAGAGGAATCGATAAAACTGAAATTGGGTACAACATTTTACAAAAACCAAGGCAAAGTTACACGTGAACAATTTTTTTATTGGATGTTCGGATGTTCTTTGCACTTAATACAAAACATCAGCTCATGTTACGTGGTTTACGTAAAGTGTTTCATAGTTTTCCCGCGACATTAAAGAAAATTACAAAAAAAACTGTGAAAACTTCAGATTTTTCGTACTACTTGAAATAAAAAAAAATATTTGAATAACTTCCTCATTTTTTATCTGATTTTCTTCGGACATGTAAAAAAATTGCTATCATGCAAGAAATAAGATAGTGTGGTTTTAGCCCTGCTCGCCTTCCCGCCTATAACGAAAAAACACGAAAAACTGTTAAAAATCCCATTTTTCGGTCATAGCCCCCTGATTTTTCATCCGATGCTTTCCAAATTTGCCATGTAAATTACCTAAGGTAAACAAATTGTCTCGTGTGAATGTTTGGTTTAGATTATTTCAGTTAAGTGGACAAAATCTGCGATAAATTAGGTACAAAATCGGCTTTTGCCATTTAGCCAATAGTTCATATGATTCCATTCTAAATTGTCATTCGAACAACCAATTGTTTGAGAAGGATTATTGAAGCGTTAAAAGGGACAAATTATCGAAGAACCTCTTATTAACACCAGCTTTACAGTAAAAGTGCGAAGAAGGAGAGGAGCGTTCACGCGTTTGCACTTGCAGTTGAATCAAGCTCTGACGTTTCATCCCTGTTTTTGTGTTATTATTAGAATTGTGAACAATGCTTTACCATTTGAAAAGTTATTGCAGCCATAGGAAATTTACTGAATATCTAAAACATTGAAACAATATAACCCCGAGCAACACACACACAAGAAGATTTTATCTATGGTATTCCTTTATTACGAGCAATCAGACATTTGCGAAGGACATACCGTAAAAAAGATGAATGGGGTGGGGGAGTAACATAGTACACCAACGGATGATGCATGCAAACGGGGATGCAGGTAGATATTTCTAGGCGGAAGGGTGCGGGTATACAGGTGCTGTATAGAATTGCAGCCATGTACACCTGGGCAACGCCGGCTACCTCGGCTAGTAATAATATAAAAATCGGCTATTTAGAATTCCATATATAAAGTTGATACGAAAATGTTCTAGGAATCAGAACAGTAAGCGAGACTTCTGCTGCTTTGTGAAAATTATTCGGAAAGTGTTAACAAGCTGAATCGAAGTATATCCACGATTTTCCCTTTTTCCATTCGGAGATTTCCAGCCAGGCTGGATCCTATTGTTGCTTTTGGAAATTTGCCGCTCTTCATTTTCCCAGTGAGTTTCGCCTACCGACGTTTTTTTTATTTTCCCAGTTCTCAGGCTCAATTTATCTTTTATTCTTGTATCTGATGTCGCTAACATCTATATTCAATAAATCAATTCGCGACACAAATGAGAGGAAAAGGAGCTCGGAGAATTTGACATTCAGAATACATCCCGAAGGGCATGAGAAAACAGAGAGTAACATTCATAAAGAGTTGTGTAAATGGATGTCAGAACAGGGACTAGGAGAGATAGTAAGTGCTGTGGCCTTGTTAGGGCCAGAAATAAAGGCAAGAAAGTTCGGCCCGACTGTCAGAGATTACTGCTGGAAACTTCCTTCTACAAAAGGCAGTACCTGTTCCTATTTATAGATGGGAGTATCCATGCGTGCGTGGGTAAATTACCATAATAGATAGATAGATAGATAGATAGATAGATAGATAGATAGATAGATAGATAGGAACCGAATGATAGACATGACATAGATAGATAGATAGATAGATAGATAGATAGATAGATAGGAACCGAATGATAGACATGACATAGATAGATAGATAGATAGATAGATAGATAGATAGATAGATAGATAGATAGATAGAAACCGAATGATAGACATGACATAGATAGATAGATAGATAGATAGATAGATAGATAGATAGATAGAAACCGAATGATAGACATGACATAGATAGATAGATAGATAGATAGATAGATAGATAGATAGATAAGTAGGAACCGAATGACAAATAGACATGAGCTAGATAATATTATGGCCTTGTTAGGGCCAGAAATAAAGACACAAAGAGAGGAATTGAGTTAAACAAATATATTAACAGAAAACAGTAATACAAACATATACAAACGAAAGTGTTACAGCAAGAATGTTCGGTCCGACTGTCAGAGCTGACTGCTGGAAACTTCCCTCTCCAAGGGCAGTACCTGCTCCTATTTATAGATGGTAGAGTCCATCCGTAACAGTAAGACAAATATTACTTAGATCTACGAAGTTGTGGAGAGCCATAAACTCCCATGTTATGAAAGGACATAACACAGAAGAAAAATGATTACTAAATAAGCTGTAATTCTTGACCGCTGATTTTTCCACGTAACCAGGTTGAGAAATTTTTAAATTAACCTGAATCTTCATTTATTAAATGTTTCTCAGACCTTGCTGGTTCTTACCAAAAATTCTTGTCTGTATTTTCCTCAATTTCCTCAGGTATATGTCGTAAACATTGGAAAGGTGTTAAAAACAGAACTGAAGTAATAATTCAAATGTCTATGTAGAAAGGACGAAGAATGCATCGGCTGAATGGTTGAGTTAAAACCAAAAACGATGCTCGCAAAAATATATGGAACAATGAAAATATCTTGTCTAAGAATATCAGGTGACATATGAAGGGCGAAGAATTTATCGGCTGAAACTTTGAAGAAAACGAAAGAAAAAAGGATAGTAGCTTTCTTCAAATAGTCTTCCTATTATGTTACCATAGGAACACACTGACCAGCTCAACTCAAGCTGCGAGAAATACGACATGAAGATCATTGTCAATAAAAACGGGGTCAAGACCGTCATCAAGAGACCAGAAAAACTGGACATTAACATCAATGGGACCCATCTAAAGCAAACCAGTAAATTCAAATATCTGAGCAGCATATTTACTGAAAACGACAAACAAGACAGAGAAATTGAGACCAAATGTCAGAAAGCCAACCCACCTCTTCTGAAACATTCTAGCATTTCCATGAGCACAAAAGCAAATATCATGAAAGCCATTTTCCTACCAATGCTGACCTACCAGTACCAGACGTGGCCCCTAACAAAAACCCTTGAGAGGAAACTGATCACTTGTGAGATGAAATGCCTGAGGAAAGCATTGAACAAGACGAGGCAAGACAAGAGCAGGAATGAGGCAATAAGAGATAGGGTAGGAGCAATACCAATCATACAACACATTGAACGAGAGAGGATCAAGTGGTTCGGACACTCGTATGACTATCAACCAACCAGTCCTACGAGCATATACCCTCAGGTGCTCTGGTTGGAGTGCAAGAGTCAGACCAAGACGACGCTAGAGACACTCTCAGAGCCCAGGAGATATCTCTCCTCCAGGCCACTCGCTTTGACGTTGACAGACGACTTCTTTTTTTCTTTCTTTACTTATGTATGTCATTTATACTGTTGTCCCTCTCGTTTTTTTTTTTTGTTTTTTTTTGGATTTCTTTTCATCCTTCCTTCTTTCTTTTGCTATTTACTACAGGCCACTGCCTTTCTTTCCTTCCTTCTTTTCTTTCTTTCCTTTTTCCATTATTTCTGTCTTTCTTTTTTTCGTTCAATCATTCTTTTTCTCTTTCTTCCATTCATTCATTCATTCTTTCTTTTTTCTTTCATTCTTTCCTTCTTTTTTTCTTTTTTCAGTCTTTCTTTCTTTTCTAGGCATGCCACTAACTTTTTAAATATATTTCCTTTTCAAACATTTTCCGTTATTTCCTTGTTATTTTTTTCTGAGTCATTGCATTTGCATATATCTTTGTTTCTGCTCCGTTATTCTTTCTTTCTCTTTCTTTCTTTCTTTCTTTCTTTCTTTCTTTCTTTATTTATTTATTTATTTATTTATTTGTCTGTTCTTTCTTTCGTTCATTTTTTCCTTCTTTCTTTTTTCTTTTCATTTTCTTTCTATCTTTCATTCATTCTTTCTTCCTTCCTTCATTTCTCTCTTTCTTTCTTTCACTTACACTTGCTTTTCATTTCCACTTTCTTTCTCTTTCTGAGCTTCTCTTTTTCTCAGTTTTCTTTCTTTGTTTCTTTCTTTCACTTACCCTCGCTTTTCATTTCCACTTTCTTTCTGTATCTGATCCTCTTTTTTTATTCTTGCTTTCTTTTTCTTTCTTTCTTTCTTTCTTTTCACTTACTCTCGCTTTTCGTTTCTAATTTGTTTCTCATTCTGACCCTCCCTTTCTTTTCTTTCTTTCTTTCTTTATTTATTTATTTATTTGTCTGTTCTTTCTTTCGTTCATTTTTTCTTCTTTCTTTTTTCTTTTCATTATCTTTCTATCTTTCATTCATTCTTTTTTTCTTCCTTCTTTTCTCCCTTTCTTTCTTTCCTTCTTCTTTTCTTTCTTTTATAACCTTTTTTCTTTTTTTTTCCATTTCTATTTTTCTATGAATTAAATGTCGTTCTTCTACTTAACATTCTTCAGCGATTTTATGAACTCTCTATTGAAATTAACTCTGAGTGTTAATAAGGAATCCATTCAAAATGTTTAACTTAAATTTTCATTCATTCTTTCCTTCTTTTTTGCTTTTTTCATTATTTCTTTCGTTTTTAGGCCTACCACTATCTTTTTAAATATATTTCCTTTTCAAACATCTTCCTTTATTTCCATGTTTTTTTTTCTCTGAGACATTGCATTTTCATATATCTTTCTTTCTTTCTTTCATTCATTTTTTCTTTTTTTCATTTCCCTTTCTTTCTTTCTTTCGTTCATTAATTTTTTCTTTCTTTCTTTCATTAATTTTTCTTTCTATCTTTCGTTTCTTTTTTCTTTATTTTTTCTTCCTTCCTTTCTTCCTTTCTTTCTTTTATTCATTTATGTTTTCTTTCTTTAATTTTTCTTTCTTTCATTCATTCTTTCTTTCGTTTTTCATTCTTTCTTTCATTTTTCTTTCTTCCTTTCACTCATTCTTTCTTTCGTTTTTCATTCTTGCTTTCTTTCATCTTTCTTTCATTCATTTTTTCTTTCTTTTTTCATTCTCCCTTTCTTTCTTTCATTAATTTCTCTTTCTTTCATTCATTTTTATTTATTTCTTTCATTCATTCTTTCTTTCATTCATTCTTTCTTTCGTTTTTCATTCTTGCTTTCTTTCATATTTTTTCTTTCATTCATTCTATTCTTTCTCTCTTTTATTCCTTCTTTCTTTTATAACCATTTTTTCTATATCTCTTTTTCTATATATCAAACGTCTTTGGTCTATTTGACTCTATTTTGCGATTTTAACAACTCTCTATTCAAATCAACTCCAGGCGCCAGTAATGAATCCATTCAAAATGTTTAATGTTAATTTTCACATCAGCTAGCAAGGGCATTAATTCATCTGTGTCTTCTTCTAAAATCTGCCATGGCAACGCAAGTTTTCTTTCTTCTCAATCTGAAGTTAATATCTTAAAAAAAAAATCAAAGAAAAGTAATGCTCTTACTTGAAATTCCTCTTTCGCTGCATTCTGAAAAGCTTTTCTTTTTCCCCCTTTTACTATAGAACCATTCGATTTTGGCTTTCTTGTCGCTGTCGCTAGCAACCGACACTAAAATCCCCACCCTGCATTGAAACATCCAGAGAAAACATCATGTAAAGAAGTCGAATGGACATGGCCAAGAGAAGATGAAGTTAAACAGAGATAATCTCACTTCATATTCATGACGGGCCAATCGAAATATAAAAGCATTTGAAGTTCAAAGCGAGGAGGGAATAGCCATTGAATAAGTCGCCATTTCTGTTTGCTGTCGCTTGGCTTTTGATGCATGCATGCTCTATGGAATGTGCGCATGCGCTTGTCTGGTTTATATAAAACTCATCGAACACCCACCGACATGAATACTCACTTTTTGATTAAAATTGTGTACAAATTAAATTACTATGTACAAATTGAAATATTATGCTATAAATATTAATATTTATTGTTGTCTTACATATAAAAAAAGTGTATTAAGTGAATAAAATTAGTGAAATATGTACAAGTGACCAACAAATTGTATGATTTACAATGACTCTTAAGCCATTATATCAAGTCTTTATCAAGTTTACTTTTTAAACCTTCTGGTTGTCCTGGTTGGGGAATAAGTTTATCCGCCGATAATCCACCAAGTAGTAATGGATTAGAGATTACCAACTGCACTCGAAGAGTAACGTGATAAACGTGATAAATATATATATATATATATATATATATATATATATATATATATATATATATATATATATATATATATATATATATATATATATATATTTTTATATATAGTTCAGATTGAGGAATAGGAGAGCCGAGTTCGAATTCCAGTCGAATCCATTAAATTCACTTACGTGCTAATACCCTTGGGAAAGGTATAAATCCTCTTCTTCTCCCTCCAGCTATGGGTAAGTAGCAGGACAGACTGGGTTCTATAGCCTTGGATGGCAACTGGTCTAGGAGAAGGACAACTCTGAATTCAAAACCTGCGGAGAGTCGTTTGGGGACCTTGTGGCACGTAGTGCACCAGGTCTCTGTATTCGGCCCTTCAAAAAGTGTGGATGGTCCTGCACAAAACCTTCACCGCTATAATCAAATCTCATGTGCTGTTGTCGGGCAGTCGGTTTCCTAGGAACTGATCTGCTAGAACTTCACGCGTTGAATTCGACGGGAGAGTTGAGTATATATATATATATATATATATATATATATATATATATATATATATATATATATACTACAGGGCACTGAAAACCCCTCAGCCCGGTCCGTTCCTCAAAGTCTAATCAAATGACTAAAGAAAGATAGTTTTTTTTTTTTGGTAGGGAAAGCTGATCAGGCCGAGAATGTTTCGGTACCGATTCGTAGATAAAGGATGTACATACTTTTTATATACTGACAAAAACCTAAAAAAATGAGATAATTGCCAAAATCCTTTCGTTCCGAATCTAAGTCGTTTCAAGTTAATTTCGAAGATACGTCGGTTTTTCTTAAATATTACATGGAAAAATAAAACTCGCCTTACGTCGTTTTTCTCGAGTGTACGTCAGACGTTGAAAATATTAGAAACGTCAAAACAGTAAAATAACAAGAAACATATTTAAATAAATTTAAAAATAATATTATACTATATATATATATATATATATATATATATATATATATATATATATATATATATGTATATATGTGTGTGTGTGTGTGTGTGTGTGTAGCTCAATTAGATCTCATGTAAATATTCAAGGTGTCCTATTGGACACTATTCGTAGCATACTTGTTGACAACACTAATATAATAGTATCATCTACATGCAAAAAGAAGGCTAAAAATAATGGAAGCCTTATTAATAAAAACAACACTTAATAATATTAACTTTGAACATGGACATAATATCTTGACCGTGTTTTGACATAGACATAATATCTTGACTGTGTTGTGAAACATTTTATAAAACATATATGAAACAAACTTTTAACAGTTAAAATATAATCCTTGAAAAGGGCTAAATGCATAGCCGAAAGCACTCAGATAAAAAGAACATTCGGACAGTTTTTGTATAATTTATCATCCGAAAAGGAAAAAAAAAATTATTAGATCGCATAAGAAATTGTATAAAAAACTAAATAAAAGCACCTTGTCTGTCGTTTTCAATAAAATGTGCATGAAAGAAGGATTGCAGGGACGACGGTCTCATAATCTTAAGAAACTGTAACAAACAAAACACAGACAAAACTAGAAAAGCAATAATAAAGATTTTTAAAAATAACGGATTCGACATAGATATATAAACTAACCTAAACGAAGTAGATTTTCTAGATGTTACCTTCAACCTAAGAAAAGGCACATATAAACCATATAGAAAACCTAACGATAAATCACTCTACATACACACATCTTCCAACGACCCATCTTCTATAATCAAACAGATAGCAAAATCGATTAACCGTAGGCTTTCCGACAATTCCTCCAATGAATCCATATTTAACAAAGCTAAGAAAGACTATGAAACAGCCCTAAAATATAGCGGATTCCCAGCAACACTCACATACTCACCACAGAACACAAAAAAGGCCAACAGGAGAAGAAATATCATATGGTTCAACCCACCGTACAGCAAAAACGTAAAAACAAACGTAGGAAAAATATTCTTCAAAATCTTACACAAACACTTTCCGGAATCAAGCACCCCACACAAAATATTCAACAAAAACACAGTAAAAATCAGCTACAGCTGCACCGAGAACATGGCACAAATAATAAAAAGGCACAACAGGAAAATTATCAACAAACCACACGAACAAATTAAACCCACGTGCAACTGCAGAAGAAAGAACGAATGTCCCTTAAACGGAAATTGTTTACAAAACAACGTAATATACCAAGCCACGATAAAATCACCAGATAATGAAGAAAAAGTATACATAGGAGTAACTGAAGGACCCTGGAAACAAAGAAATTATACACACAATATATCTTTCACAAATAGTAAATATGCGAACAGTACAATGCTTTCTAAGTATATCTAGGAAATTAAAAGCAAAACGAACATCACACCAAAAATATCTTGGAAAATAAGGAAAAGATCATCAGCCTACAACAACCAATCAAAAACTTGCAAACTTTGCTTGGAGGAAAAAATAGCTATCATTACTTTCCCAGACCAAAATAAAATATTAAATAAAAGATCCGAGCTCATCTCAAAATGCAGACATGAAAACAAATTTTACTACGTTACTTAAAAATTGAAAACGTAAAAAATAAAATAAAAACAAATAAATAAACAAAATAACAATAAAATAAGCAAAATTAATTAATCCAAATAAATTACCAAATCACACAGTTAGAAAAGATGAAATAGAACAACAACAACAACAACAATAATAATAATAATAATAACAAAAAAAACAATGAACCCAAATAAATAAAGTAAATAATAAACAAATTAGCAAACCATTATGACCAAAATATTAGTTAAACATAAAATCAAACCAAAAAATCGGTCGAAAAAATAGTTGTAACTGTTATATAACGATAAGAAAAATAAAAAATAAAAAATAAAAATAAAAAATAAATAAATAAATACTACGTTACTTAAAAATCGAAAACCGAAAAGAGAAAATATACAAGAAAAATAAATTGACCTAAATTCATCCAAGTAAATAAATAAACAAACCCATCCCGATAAAGTTACCGTTAGAAAAAAACAAATAAAGATAATCAACCCAAATAAACCCAAATTAAAAACTGTTCCTGCCAAAATAATAGTTAGAATAAACTACAACAATCAACCCCAAAACCGAACAAATAGCTTTAATTAAATTCTCAAACCAAAATAAAACTATTAAATAAGTGATATAAACAAATTTTTACTACGTTAATAAAAACACCGATTAAAAAAATGAATAAATAAATAAATAAAATAAGAAACAAAAAATAAAAATAAATAAAAACAAGCAAAATAGTTTAACCCAAATAAATAAATAAACGACTTCCGGTAAAATAACCGCCAAAATAGACTACCCACAATGCACCACTGACCCGTATATATATAAATAGCCGAGAAAAATAACAGCACACGTGGCCTGACGATTGCATATAGCATGAAACAGACTGTCGCCTCTAAGTGTTGCCTTCCATGTTCACTTTTATATTTACACACGCTCTATCTCTGATATTGAGCACTTTATCCCATAAATATAGCACACCTTAAGAGTATATTTCTTCATATATATATATATATATATATATATATATATATATACCCCAGTAAAGGATTGGTGTATACGGAATAAAACCCTTTATTCTACATTCAATGCTTTTGCTTGATAAGACACCAGAAATGTTGAAACAAAATGGCTATCTTTTAGTGATCTTATAACATATTTATGTTATAATTTTTAATAATAAATAATATATATATATATATATATATATATATATATATATATATATATATATATATAAGGTCAATGAAAAGTCGTGCACTTTAGGGATAATTTATGTAAGGTATAATTACACTTGAAAATTTTATTTACAAGTTCTTTAAT